CATGAGCAGAGATGTGAGGGAAGCTCAGTCTTTTCAAGATTAGTAGACTTGATTCAAACGTTAACATTAAACAATTTCCAATTTTTCCCTGTTCACGAGAAATGGTTTGGCAGGCCAGCACGAGGGAGCCAGCCTGACACGTTTTTTTCACATCTCGCTCGCTTTCTCGGGCTCTGTCTCCCCCTGTCTATTTTTTTTGTATTCCTTAACCTTTCTTTTCTCTCACTTCTGTCTCTTCACTCCTTCGCTCTCCCTCTCTTTCCCCCATCCCCCATGTGTCTCCGTCTGCTCTCGGAGAGGGATGGGTTGATTATCTGTGTCTGAAGTAAACTGCCCTTTCTGGCACTGGCCAAGGTCAATTACGGCCACACATTCAAAGCAGAATGAAAATAAGGGGTGAATCGCAGGTGCAGTAGATTGACTTTTCCTTTCAAGCTGCTTTTTCTACCCCTTTTAATGTCATTTTCTTCAGCTTAACTTTTTCAGTAATTTCATCAGTTTTTAGATACATATTTGGAGAATTTTTGAAGCATTCGTTTACATTCGTAGGAAATTGGTTTTTCCATGATAGCCTGGTGAAATGCCAGGGGAGCTATATTTAAATTTTTACTTACAGTCCTCTAATTATTTCATAGTAATTCTCAACATGCTCCTACTGAGATCATCAACCCTTCCCATGTTGCATTGTTTCACACAGTGACTCTTGAAACATGAACAAAAGACCCAATGTATATGCATATTCGAATACTAAAAATACTGGTGTCTCTCTTCGACAAAATAAAAAGGAAAGAGGGGAAAAAACTTAATTGCTAGGCAGGAGCCTTTCAAGCGTTACCATGGCTACACGATAGAAAGGTGTGTGCTGTTTTAATAGCAGGCTGTGAAAAGGAAGAGCTGTCAAGAAAAGAGCATCAGGCAGAAGGCGGTTAAAAGCATGGATTGCCTCTTCCTCATAGTGTTTGCTGCCAGAGATCAAAGTTGGACAGTGTGACACATATCACCTGTCTAATTTGTTGTCTAGGATGCAAAATTAAATAAAGCTTTCATTGTATTAACCGCTGGCTCTCTTTGTGACGACCCATGGGAGACACTCTGCAGTCAGCAATCAAGTTTAGCAAGCAAAGGAGGCTTAGCCTGCTCAAAAATGTATTCTAAATAGACATAACACTAAAACGGATGCTTTAATCAAATTTTTGTATAATTCAGAAGTATATATTTTATAAATGTTTTTTTATTCTTTTTATATTGATATTTATTTATTTATATTTATTTTAATATTTTATATAATTTCTAGCATAGGTGGGAATCTGCTCTTCTAATATGTAAATTGACCAATCAGAATGGATATGCTAATTATGGAATGTTGTTTGTTTCCAGCAAAAATGCAGCTGAAATATGCCTCCTTCCATATAAATAACCGATCATTATCAGCAGTAACCTTTCAAACAAATTAGCTGTCAATATCACTTTAGTGAATCTAAATTCTGCTTGTGATTAACACAACAGGTGGAGTGAAACAAAAACAAGAATTAAATAACAGTTTTAGAGAGACTTCAGATTTATCTTGGAATTGGAGTCTGCATTACCGAAGGATGTCAATATAACCCAATGACTGCACATCTCTGTGATTGTCTATTTAATTATTAGAAAATTTTTAATAGAAAGAAAATCATTAATTAAATTTGACTCATTAGTGGTTTGTTGTGTTTCTTCCTGCAAGACAATAATTTAGTGATTTTTGTTGTAGGCAGTGTGTATATCTCTCTATTTATTTATGTTGTTTTTTTTTAAACTTATTTTAGTCAGTCAATTTTGTGTCGTTTTATCATACTCAAGACTTCTGAGTATCATCAAAGAGGGCCAGGCTTTGTTATAAGACAAGTCTTTGTGAATCAGGGTCTTTGTACTTTCTCTACATCACAGTAATCAATTTCAAAAGGAAAGCTGCAAAGTTGCCAAGATGAAAGAACATTTTAAACTCATCTTCAAAATCATTAGTATAAACAAAAATTTTTTTTAGTTTGAGTCGTTAAGTTGAATAATTAAGAAGTGACTAATTCTGTCTGGTCTTGATGATTCCTCTCATATTAAAATACACTTTACAACACCAAATGCATTGTTTATTTTTGAAAACATTCAGAAAGTAGCTTAGTTTTGGCAGAATGAATGAAATGTTTATATTGTTCAGTGTGTTATGAATTTTAAGAAGGTGTGAAAGTTTATTTTAAGAAAGTGTAAATTTGTCAACGATACTGATTTATTTATTGAATAATCTTAACATTATATGAGGAAAAGAAAACTTTTAAGACTATAAAGACAGTTACATTAAATGGAATAAGGCTAAAGCGGCACATGAGTTTGCTGTAGTTGTCAGATGTGATTAACATTTTGTAGCGTTCACTGTTGCTAACTAATTTAACTCGTCTTAGCTCTTTTGTGTAATAAGAATGGCTTATAAACTGACTCAACAGTTGAACTTTCACCTTTCTATGCTGTGAAAATCACCAGTGGTAGGATCTGGTTTGTTTTAAGGCCCTTGGTTAGCATGCAGTCAATGAAGTAAGCTGTTAGTGTTTAATCAAGGGTGCAAGAGAGCCTTCCAAAACACATCCGAGTTCAACTCCCTTACATAATGCAATTTCATCCCATTTATTCTGCCGTTGCATCTGACTAACATGCCACTTAGTTCCTGTCTTCACTCCTTTTCTAACCAAGTACCTTGTCTGGGGTTGACAAGAAACGATTTAACAGAGAAATAATAGACAGGAAGGAGTTCTGTGGAAATGCTTTTCTCTCAGCTTAAAATAAAACAATAGGGCTCCAATTTTGCACAATTTAGCACCTTTGTAGTAATATTTGTCCAACTATTGCTGGTTCTTAATATCTTTTTGAAAAGAGACTGGGAGAAAGTGGGGTCAACTTTTATTAATATATATTATAGGGGTTTCAATTTTTTGATTAACTGACCTTTTAAAATATAGGAGATATTGAATCTCATATTCAACAGTATTATTTTCGCAAGAAAGTATTTAGGAAGTGATTTGCTGTCAAATCTGTCTCATTTGTCATTTAGAAGGAGACTTTTAGAACAGACACATATTTATATGTTTAGAACTTGCAGTCTTATACAGATATGAGGTTTTTAATGTGTAGTTTAATGATGGGTGTTAATGGAACTTGTAGATTTATGAATGATAGTTTTGGTGCTATTTACCAATAGAGAGAAGTGCTCCTAGGATTATTGAAGTGGTGGAGTTATTGAATTGACAGCAAGCCTGGAAGCTTTAATCGATGCAGTAATGCAACATACACACAGTGTTTACAGATGGCACCAAATAATGGGTCATACAGAGGAGATGAATGGCTTTCACTGGCTAAATTAAGTCATTTTGAAGAAGACCGTACCCTGCAATATTTAAAAATCCTTAAATCAGTCAGAATGAAGTAAATATATATATATATATGCTGCACAATGTGAAGCTAATACAGCTTGCTACTGTACATAGTGAGTCTGTTTTTAGTAAATCATTAAAAGTGAATTGTTGTTATAATGTTATAATTCTCAGTTGTAAGTTGCTTTGGATAAAAGCGTCTGCTAAATGACTAAATGTAAATGTAATGGGTATTTTAATTATTTTAGTGATAATGCAATGTGGCGTTCAGCGTAAGTCTCAAAATAAATGAAACAGAACCACACCACTGAATAACCACTTGAATTACCTTCATTCTTTAAGATCTCAGTTTCACAACTCCGTCTGACAGCTGTGCCATTTTTATTTTAATCGATTGATTAATCTGATGGCGTCTTATGTTCTGGATAAGGACGTGTGAGATGTTTAGGAAAATATGGGACATTTTAATCAGATTTATGGCTTTAGTTTCCATAGAGAGAAAACCATGTTCCTTTGAACTTCTCATTTTGAGAAATTATTTTTAGATTTAATATTTACAGATAATGTTTACTGCTCCTGCTAGATTCACAGTCTGGCATGATCCCAGACTTTTCAAATGAACTGCAAAATAAAATTTCGTGGAGCCAAATGAAGTGTGGGTGTACAGTATGCCCACAAGGTGTGGAATCAGATGTACTGAAAAGATGGTGAAGAAGAGGTTGGAATGCCCTTGCCAAAGTGTGGATTGTGCAATTGGATATGGATATTTGAAGAAAGACTTAGCATGGCTGAGCATGGCACCTGGAGTGAAGGTGAAAGTAGAGATTAATTTGTCATGAGTGAATATCACATTTTGTCTTGGGGCCAATTATTTTGTCTGTATGCTCATTGAGGTATCAGCAGACAGACCTGCAGTGTCTGCCTACAGATTAGACCTCAGGCGTATCACCATGCATACAGAGTAATAGGAAAATGTACAGGAACGTGAATGTTATTTTAAGAAGTCTCTGTGCTCTGTTACCAGGTTTGCTGTTTCTATTCTGTTAATTAAATGTACCAAAACTCCAAATACCAATGTACTGTCTGTTCAACTGTATAAACATACAAATTATAAATGTTATTCAGAGTGGACACCATATTTAGTGAATGAATGGAAACAAAGCTGTGAGGGACAGAAGTGCAATCTGTTCAATATGTCGTATAGCTCTTCTGATTGATAGAAAATGTCCCTCACTGCCAAATTAAATATTGAGTTTATTCTGACTTAAAACTGTATGTTATAAATCAGTGTTTTCCAATCCTGAGGTTTCAAATGCTTAGGGATTTGTGATGGAATTGGAGGAGGGCTGTAAGATACAATAGAAATGGCAATGCTAAATTGCTACATTATTAATATTTTTTAGAATAATAAATAATTAAGGGGTATTTTATTGTATAGAATTAGGTCAAACAGATAAAGTAGTTTCAGTTATTCATGTGAAAATAAATTTCAGTTATTCATGTGAAATTGTGAAATGTTTATTGAACCCTTTTTTAACTCTAAATTCCACACAGCATTTCCCACAGCTTTTGTGTGATGCCTTCCTCTTGTGTCTCCCTTTCTTACAGGAACTGTTTACGCCGGAATGCAAGTTTAAAGAGTCTGTGTTTGAAAACTACTATGTGATCTACTCATCCATGCTGTATAGGCAGCAGGAGTCGGGGAGAGCATGGTTCCTTGGCTTAAATAAAGATGGCCAGGCCATGAAGGGGAACCGGGTGAAGAAAACTAAACCAGCTGCTCACTTCCTGCCCAAGCCATTAGAAGGTAAAGCGTTCTCTGAAAGTCTCAAGAGAACGGTTAACATCCAGGTCACTGTGACACTGGCAGAATGGTAATGAAGTGCACAAGCCCCTGAGCTTTTGCTTGATGCCTTTTTACAGTTTTTCTCAAATGGTTTACACATTTTTTTAAAACTAAGGTCAAGGTTTTCAAAACAAGAAACACAGGCATCCAAACGCTTTTCCAAAACAGGTTGTACATTTTCATCGCATTAATACAAATGACAACATACATCATTTTTATCGAGAACCCACACACAAACAAATCTCCAGTCCAAGGTTCATGTTTTCAAAGCGTTTAATACAAACAACTACAGAGATGGAGGAGGTAGAAGAAGATAAGAGAGGATAGGAATAAGAGATAAAGATGAAAGAGTGGAGGAGGAAGACAGAGGATGGGAGAGGATGTAGAATGAGGAGAGGAGAGGAGGAGGACATTGAAAGAGTTGAGGAAAGAGCAAGAGGAAATGATGTAAGAGGAGGGTGAGAAGAGAGGAAGGGGACAGCAGTCTCAAATGAGATGAGAGACAGTTTAATTGACACTGGGTCATAGTTTCTTGATAGAGGCCAGACAGAGTTCAGCATAATGTGAGCAGATCTACATTGACTATAGAAAACCAAGAAAAGAGGGAGGAATGTCATTGGTCAATGATGACCCAACATCACCATCTGTGCTGTGCTCTCATGGGGCTGTACAACATCCGTGCCAGGTGTGAATTGAACATCTTCACCGTTACTTCCTTAGATGCAGAGCTTGAATTCATGTGGAATACTTACTGGACTTCCTCAACAATTGGCTTTGTTCTCTCTCACCGGACTTGTGTGTGTAGGTGATGTAAAAGACGAAAGCAGGCATTTGGACCAAAGTGAGGCAAGGGAGGGGGAGACTCAAAATGTTTCTAAACTTAAAACGCATTATTGCCCCGTTTGTGTTGTTTTACTACTTACAATTGATTCAAGTATAAAACGTTGTTATTAACAATGCACAGCGTGGTTTTTAATAATATTTTTAGGGGGGACAACCCTCAGATAGGAGGGGTCCTGTCCCCCCGACCCCCTGGGATTTCCGCCTATGCATCCTCGATCACTTTTAGTCAGCTTTGATGAAACTCCTCTCAGCTAGCACATCTTGTCAAAGTGAAAGTAGCCTTGTCACCTGACCTGAATACAGCGTGCTGATTCGCTAAAATGGACTTATCGGCTTCTGTTCAAAAACAACAAGGGCGCTTGTCGGCTTCTGCAGTAAAACGTGATCTCGCGATGCCTTGAAAGTGGACAAAACCGGCTTTTTTGACAAAACGTGTTTAGAGTTCAGATCGCGCTATATGTGAAGAATAATGCATGGCAATCAGCTCTTTTTTTTTTAAGTGGCGTTTATCGGTTTTTGCAAATGAACTCTTCATATATATATATATATGTACATGTATACATTAGGGCTGTCACAATATTAGATTTTTCACACCACTGTTATTGTGGCCAAAAGAATTCACGATATCGATATATCACGATATCTATAGAAATTCTTTTATATTTATGTCTATTTACTTTTAAATTATATCTATTTAATTTTTTACTTTGTTTACTTAGTTTTTCTTTTTACCCAATGACCATAAGGATACTGATAAACACTTTCACCTCTTCTTCAGGTCACAGCTGACCTGAGACTCTGGATTTCTCTTCTTTGAAGCTCTCTATGAAATAACAAGAGAGAAAATACTGTCAAGTTCAACAGTACGATGAATAAATAACTAATAACTAACTCAAAACTAATACTTTAACCTGTTAACTTGCGTGCCCGAATTTTAATCTCTTTAACCTATCGTTGCGCCGGCGCCAATGCAGTCATGCAGTTAACGCACTTCTAATTCAGTATTAATGTGCGTCTAGAACGGCCGCAGATGAGGCATTAATTGCATGGCACTCTGACCAACTTAACATTTTACAGAGTTTAATGTAGCAATGTGGTCGCTCAGTTTTTCTAGATTTGTTTTAATCGTATAATAGATTTGAACAAAGAAATCAAGTGCTGCACACATGTATTGGCCATGACTTGATTGCAAATACAATTACAAAAATTAGAGGAGTAGAGAAAACGTGGTACTTATTAAAAGAATCACCCCTTTATTTAAATATATGAACACAGGAAACCGCTGTTAACAGGTTAATGTAACGGTTCCCATTCCATGACTAGTAAAATAATGGCAACTTACTGTCTGTATGCATGGTTCTTCTTGGGAGTTGCGCGGCCGAGCGCTGCGTCTTCTTCTTGTTTGACAGGGGTCAGCGTTAAGGCACAATACTGCCACCTGGGAGGTCAACCAGGTACTGGCGCTGGAGTAGGCTATTGTCGTGTTATCATAAGTGTCCTGTTCATTTTAAATATTGTGGTTATCGCCAATATATCGTATATGGTATATCGTCACAGCCTAAATTAACACAATGTCCATATTTCATGATTTGAATATCACGGTTATCGTCAATACCGGTATATCGCGACACCCCTAATATAC